CAGTCTTCGCATGCAGTAGGGCTGACACGTGCTAAGCCTAACTTGCAGACCCGTCGGCTATCCTCACCTGGTTTGGCCGGCTTGCCAAAGCCGTTTACCGGAAGTGGCGGCTGTTGCATGCGACAGGATTCTAAGAGCCACTTTAGAAAGAACCGGAAACCAAATCCTAAAATGGAAACAAGGGATAAACCTCTACTCCTGTTCAAAACAAGTGTGAACCGGAGAAAAAATAAATAAATAAAATTTCTGATTTTAGTTGGAGACGCTAGCCGTATAGATTTGAAGTAGAATTTTGAATTTAAAATAACATTTGGGATTGGCATTCGATGTCCTGAGTGTCACTGCCGGTCAGTTTCCTCGGATACGTTTTGTATGTTATAAAATATGTTTTTTTTTTTAAACTTAATTTGTTGTAAAATTCACTGTAAAAAATGTAATCGATGTTTAAGTAAATAAAAATTTAATTCTTGATCTAAAATCTATGCATTTTTCAGACATATACATGGGAATCCAGTGTTATTTCCATAATTTATGATGTCTGTTAGTCTGTGACTTCATTCAATTAGACAAATATAGAAATCTATGTGCTTATACTATATTTGCTATTCGACTGGAAACTGGTTATAGTTTATAAAGGAAACATTCAAAGTTGAATCGCCGATCATTTATTTAACATTGACTGACGTGTTTCCAGTTCAGAATTCTGGAAGATAAGTTTGAACTGTCCATCAGCAGAAAAATATTTATCGAATTTAATAATATATTTACGCATGCGCACTTATTCTTTTGAGTGGTGATGTGACTTAAAATCAAGAACTTTCATGCCTTCAACTATAGCAATATTAAATATTAAATTGCTTTTCTGATATGACATGATATTCCTCGAAAGAAGAGTTACGGAAAATAGAACTTATATTCAACTGACAGAATACAGAGTTGTTATGTACACACACACATATATATATATATATATATATATGTGTGTGTGTGTGTGTGTGTGTGTGTGTTGTGTGTGTGTGTGTGAGGGGGTGTACGCTCTTGTAAGTACAGGCTTATGTGTGTGTGTGTGTGTGTGTGTGTGTGTGTGTGTGTGCAAAACATTTCTACGACTGTAAATCATATATGTATTTTGGAGCTGAAATTTTCACTGTATAATTTTCGATCTGTGCGACTTATAATCAGCAATGAATTAAGTGCATTAACAAGGAAGTAAAGTATGTTGAAAAATAAATATGTATTTTCCGATCAGTTTTGTTTATACAGTGATCTACTCTGAGGATTGCGATGTGAATGATTATGTTTGAACCACCTGCGGTCCACTATCAAAGAGGGTATTTGAAATTTCATTTCAGAGATATTTATGTTACTTTTGCAGTAATGACATATCCAAATTCTCAAGGATTAGTAATTAAGGCGAAAATGCAACTTTTTCATTGAAATAGCGATAGATGTCAAAAAGTAAAACTTTTTTTTTCTGAATAGAGAAAATGGGAGTCATGCTAAAAATAATTAAGCGGATTCTATGGCCAAACTAATCGCCTGATATGGAAAGGGTTTTCTGTTAGGAAAGAAAGAAGCTAGCCTTATAAAATAAAAGACTTATTCCGCCTTTTCCATGTAACTTCGTTGAATATTCCACAAGAAAAGCAAAATCTAATAAATTTGTTTTTACTAAAAAAGAGAAAATAATTAACGAAAAAACTGCAAAGGTCATATATATATATATATATATATATATATATATATATATATATATATATATATGATAAAATCATAATAATAATAATTGATTCTCCCGTTGGTTTCGACGTATGAGGATCTGACAGCTTATTGATTCAGTTATGAAATTTTTTTACGATAATCTTAAGTGGCATTTAAGACCCACTAGTGATATATATATATATATATATATATATATATATATATATATATATATATATATATATGAAGAAATACAGTCTTAAGGTGTGCTATATTTATGGGATAAAGTGCTCAATATCAGAGATAGAGCGTATGTAAATATAAATATAAAAGTGAACATTGAAGTCAACACTCAGAGGCGACAGGCTGATTCATGCATACCGCAATCAATATATATATATATATGTGTGTGTGTGTGTGCGTGTGTGGAGGGTGTATTTAGGCAGCAAATTCTCTTTTAGGCATGTCTGATTGAATAAATTACAAACATTATGTATGCTTATTTTTATCATAATCCTTTCATATTCACGAATATTATTTTCCCGTATATTACACTTATATAAGGCAAGTAATGCACTGGAACAGTGAGAATCACCTTTACTTCCCAAGTACTTTCCATCTCTTTCTGAGATCATCATTAGGGCTGCACTCCTGATGATGATCTCACTGTTACAGTGCATTTCTTCACATAAGTTCGAAAGCTGGAGAATTAAGAATAATAAAAAATAAATTTAAATATATATATATATATATATATATATATATATATATATATATATATATATATATATATATAAATATATATATATTTGAAATGGGCATTTCTTGACGGAATTTTAAGTTCGGAGTTTTAAGTATATTAAGTTTCGCACAGTGATAAATCAAACAGGGAAAGGAATTTTTCTAAAAAATTCACTTAGAAGCGGACTCTACCCACCTCAAAAAACTAATGTTGGATATTTTCCACCGTCTATTTCTCGCATCCTCTGATGAAGAACACAGGCGTGTTCGAAACTTCCCAACTTGAAACCTCAATCTCCGTGCTTCATATTTATCACCTGGTTAATATTAATAAATGTTTTTCGTACTGATTTAATCGGTACCCTTTCGTTTGACTTTGTTTTGTTGATCAACTTATCTACTCTACTTCATATATATATATATATATATATATATATATATATATATATATATATATATAATATTAGTGGTAAATATACACATACATATGCAAAATATATAAATATGTTAGAACTCAATGTCCAGAACAGAGTAAGGATATAATAAAAAGGCTTAAACACTAATATTCCATGGTCATAATTTATTCCATTGGAATCGTAATTTCTCTAAATTCTATTTTTATTTTCGGAGTTGTTTTTTCTGTTTATTTTTTGAATTTGTAGGTCTGATGAATTGATCGTATTTACGGATTCCAATGGAATAAATTATGACCATGGAATATTAGAGTTTAATATATATTTATATATATATATATATATATATATATATATATATATATATATATGTGTGTGTGTGTGTGTGTGTGTGTGTGTGTTTATTTATATAGAAAGAGAAGGAGGAGAGAAAGAGTGAAAATGAAAGTGACATGTGTATTACTCCACAATGATAATAATAAACTAATAATTATATGAACAAGCCACAAAATAAAAACATTTATTTTATGTAAGTACGTAGTCTAATCATTAGAGAGCCGAATGAGATAACATTGTAAGTCTGATGATTGTATTGGTCCATGATATTTTTTTTGTGTGTGTGTGTGGAGGGAGAATTCAAAGCCCATCTCTGACGCGTGGGTGAGAATGCCAGTCGTGACCGTATGGGATATGCAACTTCCACTAGCAAGGCCACAACTATCTTTAATCAGCAACCAGGCCGCTCTTAAATGTAAATGCCAGGAGTTCACATACGAACTTAAAACAGGAACAGGCTCACTCATTTATAAGATTAGTGCAATACAATTATAGTTTCTCTGAATATTGCTGACGCATTCAACGGAGAGAATGTATTTCTTTTCACACAAACACACACACACAAACACAGAGGCAATCTCTCTCACTTTCACACACATACACACACATACACGTAAACCTACACGCACAAAGGATCAATGTTTTAAATTATTAACATTTTGTCTCGCTAATGTAAAGTTTGTTCATTTGAAAAAAAAAATTCTGATGTCACCGAGCCATTGGCAGAAATATTCTGACATATTTCGCCAATAGCTCGGTGACATCAGAATTTTTTTCATATTGCGTTATTATATATATATATATATATATATATATATATATATATATATATCCAGGTAAAGTTTCCAAGCTATGATGGGTTAATACTATGTTTATTGAGGAAACGTTGACGTGCATAATAAAATCTGACAACGGGTACATGCATGCTATACTTCTATTATCACAGTGTGCGATATCTAATGATAAAAGTGATGGAAGCAAAAAGAAAAACGAATCTTAATGAAATCGGCTAGATTTAAAATTAAAAAAAAATTAAATTAAAAATTCCCAGCATCCCTTGCATCAACATAAACAAATTTAGTCTGATGAAGTCCTAAAGGACGAAACGCGTCACACGAAAGCTTTTTTCACTGTCTTACATTTTACCCCAGTATTGTTCTTGATATATATATATATATATATATATATATATATATATATATATATATATCAGTATCTCATAAATATATAAATGAATCACACCAAGCAAGACTGTAATACTAGGAAAACTCAATAGTTTACAGAGTGTGGAAGAATTGGTAATAGATCCCGATTAAGACATATATATACCTATATATATATATGCAATTAAAAAAAAATGATGAACATATTTCTTATGGACGATATTCATATATATATATATATATATATATATATATATCTTCGAGTGCCAAATAAACGTCCCCATCCCCGCTTTTTAATTCTAGGATTCCCTCCCCGGATTTTATTAGATTCCCGTCTTATTGTCTTTTGGGATAGAAATATTATAATATTTTCGATTTCGTTGACACATTTTACTTTGTGACATTAAGGGACATTTATTTTCCGTTTTATTTCTTTGGGAATATTGTTATGATTTGAAAGACTTATTCCTCAAGGCATATTGCCAATCACCCCCATATATTTACCCCACGAACACAAACAGTTTTTACATTTTCCGAACTTTCCTCTTCCTCCATTTAATACGACATCCACCAATTTTATTTGGTGCCTAAAAAGAACATGACTGTTTCTTGGTAAATTACTGAAGTGATTTGCACGGTTTTGAACTCAGCGTTGTCCTTCTAGACTGTCTGTATTATCAATGTGTGTGTGTGTGTGAGAGAGAGAGAGAGAGAGAGAGAGAGAGAGAGAGAGAGAGAGGGAGAGAGCAAGAGAGAGCGCTAAGTCTGCCAGACGACCTATCGTAAAATAAATGAACAGAGCTGAATCCCCGCAATTTTCGAGGACACTAGCGTGCAGTAAACGCAACAGAATCGGTTGGAATTCGGTAGGCTGATTTTATTTTCCGAGTTGATAACTATTAATCTACCCGCAATATCAGATTTTATTATGCAAGTAATTTTTTTCGCAATGAATTTCATATTAAGCAATAATTGTTACAATAATTTTCACGATATATTTATAAGTATATAAGTCATATACCTTGAGATTTTCAGATTCTTATATATATATATCACATTATTTTTCAGTCTGTGAAGTTTTATTATGCAACATGTCTAATAAATTTTATTTCTAAATAGACCAAATGACATAGATCATATGCAAGTACATTTTTATTTAATTCTTTTACATAGTAACAACGGCTCCTGGACGTTCTATGACTGCAGAATGAACTCTTCCTAACACTATGTATACTACGCCTCTCAAGAGAGAGACACGAATCAAGCCGAGAAGCTCGGCTTGACTGTCGAACTCTCTGCCTCTGAGCAAAGTGGAACCCGGACGAGGCTCCGCCAAAGGGCAGAGTCACGTTCGGGGAGGTTGACCAACCCGATCCCGTTTATACGGGCATTTTTTGGCCAAACCTACGGGCTCGGGAAAACCACGTTAAACTCGGCCTTGTGACACATGCAACCATCGTGGGGGTGGCTAGATACCAAATCAAGCCGAGAAGCTCGGCTTGACGGACGAGCTCTCTGCCTCTGAACAGAGAGGAACTCGGACGAGGCTCCGCCGAAGGGCAGAGTCTCGTTCGGGGAGGTTGACCAACCCGATTCTGTTTTTACAGTTTCTACTGGCATTTTTTGGCCAAGCCTACGGGCTCGGAAAACCCACGTAAAACTCGGCCTTGTGCCACATCTTTCCCTCGTGGGGGGGTTGCAAGTGAATATCGAATCGAGCCGAGCAGATAGTAGTTCACTCCAAACCAGATTGGAAGTCATACTAACACCTTTCACATCTTGGATTAATATTTCGTGTAATATACCTTCGTTATTTCTACTCTGTTCGTGTTGTTCTTCCTTGGTCCTAACCTGGACCATAACAATTATGATTATCAACGTTATTGTCCAAGAACTTATAATAATCTATTGTATATCTTTATATCATCAATTCTGAAGTTGCCCATAATTTTACTGTATATAATAATAGCTTAAATCATGAGCGTATCAGCCACCTGTAGTCTTGTAAGTCGTGTTTGTTAACTACTTCTGGATTCTATCGACCAGTTTTTAGCGCGACAATCATCTGTTGTGTAATCAGTTTTCATGTATTTCTTTGCCTAACATAAATAATTTTCTTTATGATATTTACTTAAATGTTAATAGTTTGTCACATTCGTTTCTTTTACCGGTTTTCTTAATATTCTGCACATTTTATCTTTGTTTTTCGTTCTGCGATGTCTACAATTTCCGAATTTGTAACCTTCGCATTCATTAAATTTAGAATATCATCTGTCTCCTTTACGGTTATAACTTTTTAAGGCTCATAGTAATGTTTATATATATATATATATATATATATATACACACACACACACATATATATATATATATATATATATATATATATAACATTATAAATAATATATTATAAACAATATATACTAGACACATACATATATATATATATATATATATATATATATATATATATATATATATATATATATATATATATATATATATATATATATATATATATATATATATATATATATATATATGTATATATATATACTACAAGTAAAAAGTTTGTGGTCTGCATTTTTTTAAAAACACCATAAATGAGATATTTTTGAATATTTTTAAGGAAAACATAAGATTTTATATTTATCTTTTAAAAAATACAATATTTTTCATTTTCGAGTTATATATATATATATATATATATATATATATATATATATATATATATATTCTCATTTTAAGATGATATAGAATCACCTTTTAAATGAGGATATATATATATATATATATATATATTCTCATTTTAAGGTGTGTATATATATATATATATATATATATATATATATATATATATATATATATACATGCAATCTGAGTTGATAATGAAATATCATAACATCAAATACGTTATGGTAAATACTTTTAATAAAATATATATTATAAGGTGAGATTTAGACTGTATATTAATAACATGCACATATGTGCATACACACACATACATAACAAATACATGCAACCAGAAAAATGTAAAAAATCACTTGGATGGCACCATGTGAAAGCATTGACTTGACGTATGCAATAAGATCTGACATAGGTTACGTACTTGCCTTTACATAAATACATACAAACATATATATATAGCCAATACCATTTTACGTGCATAATAAAATCTGAAATAGGTACATGCACATACATACTATATATATATATATATATATATATATATATATATATATATATATATATTTATATATAATGATATATATTGTGATATAATTATTATGTATAATATGTATATATATATACATTATATATATAATTTATTGTGGAAAAATAAAATCTGACGTAAGGTATATACATGCATATATATATATATATATACATTCTGTGGTATATACCTATATATTGTATTGTGTTATATATACCATTTTAAATCTGTAAGTCATGATGTGTCTACATATATAAATACACAAAGCAAATGTATATAAAACTTTAATCCAAACATGTGTGCACTTGCACACATGCATTCTCGCGCATACACACATACACATACACACACACACATGCAGTTAAATACACATACTTGTATATAGTTATATCTATAAACATGCACATATATGTAAACTTTAGAAATAGAAATTTCAGACGGTATAGACGAAAACAAAGAAATATTAAAAACCTGAAATACCTTGCAACTTGGGTCTCCTACACCATCCCCATAGGGCAGGAAAATCTAGGGTTAGAAATAATTACAGAATTTTCAAATAGTAATTCATATACAGTCATATTTACAAACATTGATACATCAACGAATATACAGAGTGTCCCAAAATAATATATACACTCTTTAAATATTAATAGCTAATAATACATTACCATGAATTGAGAACTTACATGGATAAAAATATGCCAAACAGGTAGATTGGAAAAGAGCGACAGTTGAGTACCCACCTAGATCACCAGATTTGACACCCTTGGATTTTTTTATTTTTATTTTTTTGTGGGGGTTTCTAAAAGATAAAGTTTACAGCAGGAAACCTGAAACAATTGCTGAAATGAGAGTAGCAATTGAAGAAGAATGTGCTCAAATAACAGAGGAAATGGTACTGGATGTTTGTAGGTCTATTTCTTCAAGATATGAAAAGTGTATTGAACAGAACAGCAACTAATTTGAGCACTTGATGTGAATTCATCATTATATAAACATTCTGCCATTGTCCCAAGTAGCTTTTATCTTATTAAAGTTAATTTTCTATGTTTTTTTTTTTTGTATATTTTACTCTCAAATTCTTTAAATGTGTATTCTTTCTCTTGTATTAATCTTATTTACAAGTCAAAATATATAAATTGAATATGACGAATCAAAGAGACTATACATTATTTTGAGACACCCTGTATAAATCTATACTTTGAAACAAAGTCATAATAATGAAATCATAGCCGTTAATGATTGTGCTAGCCCGAAGTGAAAAGTGATCGGGACTGAGGGTTTGAGCATGCTGGCCTTATTCAAGACATTGATCATTCCTGATCATGCGCCCTCTCTCAGAAACTGTAACTTAGGTACGCTCAATATAGTTGTAGTATAAACCACAGGTGGTCTCTATTGGATGAGTGGGTGTCTGTAATAGAGATTTGCTGTCCACCCTGGTATACGGGGATGCTCGAAAACGAATAGCCAGCCATTATACATATATGAAGATATGATCGATCGAGAAAAACCTTCGAAGGTGTGTATTTATAAACAGTAATTTGGACTTTGCTAACCAAATGCTTCTTTGTCGTTGAATGCTTGACAGCACATTAGATCAAACGACGCTTCCCATTAGGGTTACAGGTTCGATTCCTGTCAGAGAGCGCATATTTTCTACAAAATTTCTTGAACATTTAGAACGGTAAATGTAATCTATACTGTTTAATTAAAAAAAAAGAACAAAAAAAAGAACAGAGCGTTTACTTAAATAATATCTATAAAAATAACGTATTAACAGAAATAATTAATAATTATCGGACTTAATCTATTTCAATATATATATATATATATATATATATATATATATATATATATATATAGATAGATAGATAGATAGATAGATATATAAATATTTAAAAATATATACATAAAATATATATATATATATATTAAAATAATGAGGAAGAACAGTAAGATTTATGATTCAGTGTTCTTATTAATTATTTTGATTTTCAAAAACCAGTGCCAATACAATTCAGTAGAGCCTAAAAACTATAAATTTACTAATTTAAAAATATGGTTCCATCGTTACACAGGAATTACCATGTTTCAAATACAGAAACTAAACCTTAAATTTAATTATAGGATTAAACTTAAAATCTTTATCTCATTCATTTTCAAGCGATTTCTGATATAACTTCTTTTAAAATTTACTGGGTTTATAAGAATATAGAATCTTGATATTATTAGTTGTCTAGGCTACGGGGAAATTTAATCATTATTAATAAGGTGTGGTAGGGTAATTCGTTTCCATCGACAACCTCTGTATCAAATCTGGTCTAGCGATTAAGGCACCTTCCAAACAGTTTCGTCTTAGTAAATATACCGGTTGTAACAGCAAAATTGTCCAAATCGTGTCACAGCATAATTGTCCATCCCAAAAAATGTTTAATATCTAAAGTTATTTTCCCCTTGAGCTTGGTGAAAAGAAAAAGTCACACGGAGCAAGATCAAGTGAACAGGGAGCTTGTTCCGGTACGGCGATGTTCTTCTCTGACAGAAATTGACGGATGCTCAG